AGACATGGATGATATCTTGTTAGCAAAAGGGGATTGTACAGCTATTCACAATCAATATGCAGTGCAAGTGATTTTACTATAATACCAGTTCTTCAGGCATCTAAGTGGCCTTTGAAATTCATAAAATGTTAGTCTAGTGGGAAAACATATGATCCTCCACACATCTATTATGAATACATTTTGTGTCAAATTAAACAAAAATAACTTCGACATTGTTCAAAAATAACAGTTAATGCCAAACCCAGGGTTCTGCCCAGGTTGACAAGAGTGCCGGGCGCTCATTAATATTCATGAGCTAATTAACATACTTGATGTTTGTTTTGAGGTGTCAAGTCAGTGAACCCCACCAAAATCATGGTATGGCACACAAATACGCCATGAACAAAAAATAGACAACAATTGTAATGCTACTATTAACTACTTCTTATTTATTTCAGAGAAATACTTTTTTGTTACAAATATATATTAGTAGTCAGATGCTGTTATTGATTATGTATATATACTGTTGTTAGATGTAAAATAACAAACCCAAAATAAATACTGAAATGTGTTGTGTTGTCCATTTAATTATATTTTATTATTATTACTGTGTTTTTCTCTTACACAACAGGGTGGAATGAATAAATAAAATAAAACAAAATACACAAACTATTTACCTACTGTTATGTAAAATAATTAAGTTAGATAAATAAATAAATAAATACAGAAATAAATGTGTCCATAATATTATTTCATTTATAGTAAAGTTCATTTATTTCTTCAGGGAAATTCGTCGATTTTTTTTCTCTGCCCCAGCTCGAATTTTTACTTCAATCACAGTGAAGTTTTAAATTCACGTGATCAGTCAGTCTCGACTTGGTGTGATCAAAAACTCAACGACCGGCAATCAACGTTTCACACTTCCATTGTTTGAATGACAGCCCACAAGTAGCGGCGAGCTCTGATCACTTGTCCTGGTAAAGGCGTGATATTTTGCCGTCAGAACAATCACCGATCGCTAAAGAGGTGTCGAAACACCATAATAGAGAGTATAGCAACCCTATTCATTGATTTGGTCTTAACCAAAATCTAAACACCGGACGTCTGCAACGTGATCGCGTACCACCCAACCCAACATAAATGGGTACATTTCCAGTAAACAATAGTGCCGGTCGGCAACTTTTTGTGCCGGCTTTTTTATTCGAGTGCCGGACGACACCGTCCGGCGCCGTCCGGCGTGGG